GTCCGTAGGATTTGAACTCTAGACCTGCCACTTGGAGAGAGTGACGACTAGACCACTACACTAAGTCGCCACACCTCATTAAGTGCACACCCTTTTAATAACGTGCATATAGAGAATAATAAGAAAAAGTGCATTTATGGAGGTTAAATATATATTTGGGCCAGGCACTTGAGCATACATTTAGAGAGGGCGTGTACTTATAGAGAGTGCAATTAGAGAGAGTGTGTACTTATAGAGGTCTGACTGTAGTATAAAACTTAAAAGTTAAAATTTATAAATTGAGTTGTAAAATATAAAAGAGTAAACATCATATGATTTTGCAATTTTCTTTTTGTATTATCATATTTAGATATCCTTCTATAATAATAAATGCAAATTACCTAGCCGATATGCATGTACGTATATATTTAAGAGTAAATTTGATAATGTTAGAAAAGATAAAATGTATGTTTGTTAAAAAAAATCACCAAAATAGAACCTATTTTACTTATCTAGTACTCTAAGATCTGAGCCATGCTTGATAAGCCAACCATATATGCAAAGCCAAGTGGATCATTGAGAGATGTATAATTTTACGAAAAGTTATAATTCGAGTATGGGTTAGAATAGTGATGATTTTTCGTCACAATACAAAGCATAATTGAATGAAAATTTCGACTTAACCATATCAGAACACTGGTGTAAAGTGTGAGCTGCAAAGTGAAATCAACAGAAAAAATCTCTAATTAACTAAGAGGAGCAAACATCACATGATTTGTCAATTTTCTTTTTTGCATTATCTCTTCTTCCATAATTAGATATCATCTTATAATAGTAAATGCAAATTACTTAGCCAGTATGTATGTACATATATACTTAAAGATGAATTTGTTTGTTAAAAAATCACTAAAAATAGAATCTATTTACTTATCTTGTTACTCTAAGATAAGCCAACCATATATACAAAGCTAAGTGGATCATTGAGAGAGGCTTAATTGCGTGAAAAATTATGATGTGAGTAGAGGTTAGAGTATTGGCGTAAAGTGGAATGATTTTCGTCACAATACAAAGCGTAATTAAATGAAAATTTTGACTTTACCAGATCAGAATACTGGTGTAAAGTAGGATACTTTTTGAGCTGCAAAGTGAAGTCAACAGAATCTGTTCAAGAAGCTGAATTGTATGAAAATTTTGACTTTGAGACAGATTGCATAAAGTGGGCTGATTTTCTGGGTAGCAGCATAGTGTGAAATTTAGATTATTAAAATGTATTTAAACAGTGGTTTTGATCTTTAATCAAAAGCAAACTTATTCAAGATCTTACCTTAGCTTTAGGAAAAGTTCTTATATTTGTAAAAATATATAAACTTTTGAAACCCGAGAGAACACCCTTATCAGACTTTGAATTATATACGCTGAACTTGCTCTTTTAGTGATAGATATGACGGATACAGTATATGTTTATATTTTCTCTAATTAATGACAAATTTTATAATTTTTAAATTAAAAGTTAATAAAAATGATTGCAAAATAAAAATGATTGTATTTATAGAAGTACACTCAGGCAATATAAAAATAGAAAGAAAGAGTTAGATGAGAAGCACCAAGAATGTCTCTCAAATAATCAAAATAAAAGACTAAGAAAAAAGGCCACAAAAACCGCTAAAGAGCGTAAAGAGCAGCTTGCACGTGATCGCAAAAGAAAATGTAGAAAAGCAGGGACGAGCGTTAACTTGCGGCAAGAATCAAAACGGCCTGTAATAGCAGTGACTATAAATCAAAATATTGAGAGTATAGCTACTGCATCTCGAAATGAAGAAAATATTGTGACTACACCTCAAAATACTGAAAATGATGCTGAAATAAATGTTGAGCCGCTATCATCTACAACTCTTAGCGAGGCAGACCAAGAAATGCTGCAAAAATTTTGTGATAAAATAAATAAATTTAAGTATACTCTTTGCCCTGTATGTAACGAATGCTTTCTATCTATAGTGCTTGTGATGGGAATATGTTGCCGGTGCCAATCTGAAAAGACTTTACCAAAAAAGTTTTCTGCAGAAAATAATATGGACCCAGGTGAAATACCTCATGAACTTAAAGGTCTAACGGAAATAGAAGAAATATTAATAGCACAAGTTTTTACTGTAATGTTAGTATATAAACTTCATGGTGGACAGCATGGATATAGAGGAAATGTTATAAACTTCCCTCAAAACATGCAAGAATTTATCACACGACTTCCTCGACACCCCTCTTCATTAAGCATATTAATGGTTCGTCACCAATCTGCCAATGATCCTACCGCATTTAGAGATTTTAAAGTTCGCCATAATATCGTCGCAAATACACTATATTGGTTAAAGGCAAATAACCGTTATTATGTGGATATTAATATTGATAATGAAGTTCTTGAAACTTTACCTCAAGATGGTTATATCGATAGCCAGCTTCCACAACTTCAAACAACCCAAACTGACGATGATTTAAATGATGAAAATGATTATGAAGAAGTTACACGTTCTTTCGTACCTTTACTTCTACCAAATAATCATAAAGACGTTGTAATTGATAGTGCTCTTGACTGTATGGAGTCTGAAAACCCATCTATCTTATAGCTACAAATTGACAACTCTTCTATTAACGAATTTCAAACCTCAGGATATATAGTACGAGTGTTTCCAACTTTATACCCAACAGGCTGCGCAGACTTTAATGCAGAACGTGTTAAAGATGTTAAGCCAGCAGAATATTTCAAGCACCTGCTTCAATTTAAAGATGGGTGGTTTGCTCGCCATACTCGTTGGCATTATTTCGCATTAAATTTTCAAATACAATGGAGAGCATTACAAGAAGAGAAAATTTACATTAGGCAGAGTTTAAATGATGATCAGCTTACTGTCACTAATATCAGAAATATGATCACTAAAGGGAACACACACATGGCAGACCGAATAATGCGATATGGAGTGGGTCTGCGTAGATCTAGACAGTTTTGGATTGCGAGATATTGTGAATTAGTAGATATGATAAAGCAATTAGATTCACAAGGATTGATTTTTTTTACCTTTAGTGCCGCTGATTTGTATTGGCCTGAGCTTCATGAGCTTATACAATCTACAGAAAATTCAGCGGAAGAAGAAAATAAGTCAGCAGAACGTTGTCGTCAAAATGTTATTAATAATCCTCATATCGCTGTTTGGTTTTTTAATAAACGTTTTGAAATTTTCTTTAACGACATATTAAAAAAACAATGGGATTTAGAGGATTGGTGGTATAGGTTCGAGTGGCAACATCGTGGCAGTGTCCATATTCATGGTATTGGAAAGAGATGAAATGTGCCTGTTATTGATTGAAAACAAATGAAAAAGGATAAACAAACAATGAATAAAATAATACAATATCTTGACTCACTTGTCACCACGATCAATCCAGGACTTAATGAACCAATACCTGACCGTCATCCATGCCAAAAGCGCCACAATGAGATAGATAATAACTTGCAAAACTATATCGATTTGATCAACAAGCTGCAATAGCACACTCGATGTAGTTCTGCATATTGTATTTATGTTAAACGAGATGGTTGGCAATTCTGTAGATTTAGATTTCCCAAGAAGAATTATGATTCTACTTTTTTACACGAAGATAATCATGAAGAACCAGAGCTTGTGACAGCAAGAAATGATTTATATATTAATCCTCATAACCGGCTTCAACTACAAGGCTGGCGAGCAAATATAGATATCAAACCAATCTTAACTACACATGCAGCCTTGCAATATATTTCTAAATATGCAAGTAAGGCAGAGACACATTTTGCTACTTTTTCTGAAATCAGATCATATCAAATAGTAGATCTGATGATTCTGTGCTTCCAGTAACTCAAAGGTTACTGATATATAGCGTTGCAGAACGTGATATTTCAGTACAGGAGACTTGCCATCTTCTCCTCGGCATTCCTCTTTATTATTCAAATAGACTGTTTATCTCTTTGAATCTAAATAAAGATACACCACGATGGCTTCATGGTACTGGTAGTGTTAAAGGTAATAAATTTGTGCCAAATGCGGGATTAACATCAAAGTCGCCTTTAAAAATATATTATAAAAGATCAGTAGAGGTCGAAAACTTATCATTATATAAACTATTTTTAATACATAAATTAGTTAAGGGTTGTTGGAAAGAATATACACAAGAAAATATTATACATATATGGCCACATCCATCGTCTTTACGTAATGGTTCTCAATAGGAGGAGTTTTGTCGTGTTAAAGTTGTTCTTCATATTAAGCATAGATGTCTCCAGCAATTAACTGAAAATGGTGCTATAGAATGGTCAGAATTATATAGCCGTCATATCAAAGAGATTAATTCCGATGTAATGGATTTGCTTGGTCCACCTGTTGATAAAATAGATAATGAAATTATCGAAGAAGATTTAGGTGAAGAAATTGATGATGATTATGAATTGCAACTTGATTAGATGCAATTGGCGGGAATAGGTCCAGATGTAATTATTAATAGTTTTTCTAAATTTGGATCTCATAATCTAGATATCAACTTTGATTGGGTTAATGATACAAAAAGACATTATTCTAATGAAGATCTTACAGATGTCGATATATTCTTGCATAGAGCTTCAAGTAATTCTAGAGTAGAAAGAAGTGCAAATACAGTTATGGATACTGTGGATTATTTAACTTTAAATGAAAACCAAAAAAAAGTCTTTAACCGAATAAAGACACATTACCAAAGTCTAATTTCTGGTTGTCAGGTTGAACTATTGAGAATTATTGTTATAGGGACTGCCGGAACCGGTAAATCGTATCTCATTAAAGCAATTAGAAGTAGACTCTGTAAGATGGCAGGAAGGGAGTCCGAACCACCAATACTTGTACTTGTGCCAATAGGAGTTGCTGCATACAATATTCAAGAGACAACTATTCACTCAACACTTTGTATTCCAATACAAAGTAATAATTTCGATATGAATGGTGAACAGTTGAAGTGGCTGCAAACCAAGCTACAAAATATAAAATATTTTATCTTAGATGAAAAAAGTATGGTTGGCGTCGAATACTTAATTTAATTAATATACAGTTACAACAGGCTTTTCTCGAGTATAAAAATGAACCTTTTGGTGGTCAATTTCTTATTATTTGTAGAGATTTTGGCCAACTTCTACCTGTACTTGACTTTTCTATGTATGCGGCTAATATTTCACACGACCCATTATCTAATGGAGGTATTGTAGCATATAGCCAGTTTCACAAGGTATATAAACTTGATGTTATTCAATGTCAATCCAGGAATTCTAGGGAGCAACAAGACTTTAGAAATGCTCTTTTATGATTGCATAATGGAGAATCTATATTAAATGATTGGAAAATGCTTACCACACGCGTTGAAAAAAAACATAGCAGAGATGTGCAGATTCAATTTTCAAGTGCTATGTTTATATTACCAAAATAGTCTGATGTTGATGCAATTAATATAGATAAGCTTGGATCCCTAAACAATCCTATCGCCAAAATTCTTGCTATACATACTGGTGGCTAGGAAGCAAAAAAAGCCGAGTCTGATATTGCGAAAAGGCTTGAATCACAACTTTTGCTTGCTAAAGGAGCGCGAGTTATATTAATGGTAAATCTGTGGACTGAAGCTAGATTAGTCAATGGTGCAATAGGGACAGTTCATGATATTTTGTATAATGATCATAGGCCACCTTCTCTTCCTGTAACAGTCTTTATTGCCTTTGATAGTTACAATGGCCCGGCTATTACAAATTTAGAAGGTGTAAACATTATTCCAATCGTACCAATTCAACGTACCTGGGAGAGTAAATCTGGAATATTATGCTCATGAATACAAATTCCTATTTGTTTCGCCTAGGCAATTACAGTACACAAGAGTCAAGGGCTTACTCTTTCAAAAGCCGTTATAGATATTAGAAGTAAAGAATTTGCTGCAGGTCTTTCGTTCGTAGCAATATTCAGAGTTTGAGCTCTTACAGATATTCTTTTCAAGGCTTTTAGTTTTGAAAGGCTTCAGAGAATTAAAACTTGTAAAAGGTTACAAGATAGAAAGGCCGAAGAGAAACAATTAATGTCTATGATACCTAATAAATAAATAATGTAATAGTTAGTTTAATGCAACTTGAGTATAGTATATTGAAAAAAAGAGCGATAATAGTTGTGAATCTAAGTAAAAAGTAGTTTTGTAATAAAATAATACAATTAGTTTAATGCAACTTGAGTATATAATATTTTATTACTTTCCTGATCTATGCGAGTTCTGTACATATGTAATATAAAAAAAAGAGCGAAAATAGTTGTGAATCTAAATGTATATAAATTTTTTTGAGTAAAAGTATTTTGTAATAAAATAATACAATATAATATTAATATTTGACATAATACATAATTCTTTGAGGCTACGATAAAATTGAAAATGCTTTATTTTATGAAAAAAAAGGTGTAACTTTTAGTTTTGATAAGATCTACAAGGTTCTGATGGCAAACAAAAGTTGTACGTCTATATTGTAGGTAATAAATTTTGGTGTTTTTTAATATAGCAAATGAATCAAGAGAAAAAGCTTTGAACGTACAGTATCAAACAATTGAGTTTTGATATAGCGTAGCTTAGATACACTATTTTAAAAAGTTAAATTTTGAGTTTAGCCAATCAAAAGGATAATAACGCATAAATTTCTTGTTATTGTTAGACAGAATTACAATTTTAGAGACGTGGCGTTACAGATGGAAAATGCAACAATTATGTTTTTGATAATTTACTTAAAATATATCAAAAACGGAATTTCGGTAACTAAAAGCGTAGACATATAAGTCCTTCGCTTCGCTTCAGACAATCATTATATTTTTTAATTTTATTTAAAAAATTGTAAATACTTTTCAGCAAATTTGTCTAAAA